AGATAGGATTAAAATTCTACTCCTAAAAAGATTCAGAATACACTAGGATCTAAATGAAAATGCAAAGAAGAAAATCTAGGTATCTGTGAATATTCTTTTTCCCCAACTCCCAAGTGTTTGGAATGTGAATATTTTTAAAAGAGCATCATTTCTCTTTAATTTTTATTATAAACATTTCAAACATACAAGAATTGGAGGAGTAGTAAAATAAGCAGCCATCAAGCATTGTGAACATTTTTTTACGTTGTATACCATATATGCACACATTATTTAAATAGGCATAAATATTGAGGGAGTGAACTCTTTAATAATAAATTGCAGACACGGATATTTCACCTTACATATTTCAGCATGTATGCCCTACAAAAGGACATCCTCCTATATAATTATATAGCATTATCTTGCCTAAGAAAATGACCAATAATTCTCTAGTTCCTTCTGATATTAATATCAACCCTAGAGTAAAATTTCTCCAGGAAGAAATCTAGGTTGATATATGGCACTTGGTTATATTTCTTTATTCTCTTTAAATCTAGAATGTTTCTTCTATTGCCAACATTTTTTCCTTGATATATTGACTTTTTGATGAGACCTTGTGTCTTGTAGGATGTCCCACAGAGTGGCTTTGTCTGGTTGTTTCCTTTTGGGTCACTTAACCATTCCTCTATTCTCTATACTTCTTGTAAACCAAAACCTAAGCTTGCTTAAATATTGAAGATTTTTGTCCAGAATACTTCATAGGTGGGATTTATTCCACTTTGCTTCCTGTCGGGGTGTAATTGTAAATAGCACCCCTCTCACCATCAAGATTTTTATGTGTTTGTAAATGAACCATCACATCAGGAGACATAATACGTTTGGCCCACCATTAGCAATGTCAAGTTTAATCACTTGCTTAAGTGTCCATCAGAGTTTTAAAAAAAGTATTGTGTTCCATACTGAATTTTATAACGAAGGCTTTTATCACTACATAAGTCAACTTTGGGTCTCACTCTGTCGCCCAGGCTGGAGTGCAGTGATGCGAGTCAGCTGTGACCTCCTTCCGCTCCACCTCAGCCTCCTGAATAGCTGGGACTACAGGCATGCCAGGCTAATTTTTATATTTTTCTTAGAGACGGGATTTTTGCCAAGTTGCCCAGGCTGGTCTTGAACTCCTGGGCTCAAGCAATCCACCTGCCTCCGCCTCCCAAAGTGCTAGGATTACAGGCATGAGCCACTGTGCCTGGCTGTCACCTCTACATTCAATAACCCATTGAAATTTTTTGCAGCTGGGTACAATCCTGAGTAACCAGTTCCTCCATGAGTTTGGCTTAAGTTAAAGTCATTTCTTTTTGCATTAAAATAGCACCCAAAATATATATTTTTAACAATAAAATTGTATGATTTCCTATTATTGAATTCAGCCAAAGGAAAAATGTAGAATGTTGAGGATTTAAGTATTTCCAACCAACTGCACAAGTTTTAAGTATAGTTTACTTTAAAAACCCTATTATTTTAATATTAAAATTAGTACTTGCTCATCATGGAAAATTTAGAAAAATACAGAAAAACATAAAAGCATAAAAACCGCCCTTAATTTCCATTTTAGATAGAACCACTGTTAGCATTTTAATGTATTTACTTTTTGTCTTTTTTCTATACAGTTTTATAATATAAATTCTATGTCACAGAACATAAAATCTGTTATGCCTTTTTCTACTTAATTTGTGTCATAAACATGTTTCCATATTATTTCAAATTTTTTGTTAACCTTTTAAAAATGACTACATAATTTTTCATATTGTGGCATTCCTACTGTTGAACATTTAAGTTGTTTTCAATTTTTTCTCATTATGAATAATATTTTGGGGAATATCTTTACATAAATCTCTTTAAAATTATTTTCTGAAGATAAAGAATTGGGTAGAAATGAATGGATTTTTTTCATTTATTTTATTTTTGCTTATCAAAGTAAGATGAACTTATCATAGACAAGTACAATATGATAAAACTGGGAAACAAACAAACAAAAAAAAACACCAAAATCCTCCACTTAGTTGCCAGAGGCAACTGATATTAATGTTTTGCCATTTCTTTGAATATATGGCGCTACAGTGTTTTCTTTCTTAGGAAGTTTCGAGGATATTAATATTTTTAAGGCTACTGATAATACGGCCAAAATTGCTTTCAATTTATCAATTTGTTCCTCTTCTTGAAGTGTGTTTGTGACTATCCTGAAAACACCAACACTGAACATTTTCAAATGAGCATGGTCATTTCAAGACTTCTCATGATTTTAGGTTGGCTCACGGAAAATTTGTCTGTGAACATGGGAAATGGCATAAAAAGTGCTGAACAAATGTTACTTAAAAAACTCACCTCCAACTTTGTTTTTGTTGTCACTGGCATTCATTTTGGGGCAACTGAAAATGTTTACTTGACAAGTAGTTGTGGAAGCCAGTTCACTGGTTTCTCTAGATGAAGATAGGCTATTGCTTATGTATTAACATTTGTTTCCTGGGAGAGATAGAAGAAAATATTATTCTAGTTAGGAGTTCCCAATCTTTTTCATGGCATGGCACACATAGAAAATAATAATTGTTGCACACCTTGGTCTCAGCTACTCAGGAGGCTGAGGAAGGAGGATTGTTTGGGCCCAGGAGGTGGAGGTTGCAGTGAGCCAAGATTGTGGCACTGCACTCCAGCCTGGGTGACAGAGCAAGATCGTGTCTCAGAAAAAGAAAAAAAGGAAAATAATAATCATTACATTTATGTGTGTGTGTGTGTGTGTGTGTGTGTGTGTGTGTGTGTGTGTGTACATTTTTTTGAGACAGGGTGTCACTCTGTTGCCAGGCTGGAGTGCAGTGGCATACTTGTAGCTCACTTTAACCTCAAATTCCTGGGCTCAAGCAATCCTCTTATCTCAGCTTCCTGAGTAAGTGGAACTACAGACATGCACCACTATGCTCAGATAATTTTTTCAAAAAGGGTTTTGTAGAGACGAACTCTCATTTTATTGACCAGGCTGGTCTCAAACTTTTGAGCTCAAGCAATCCTCCCACCTCAGCCTCCTGAGTAGCTTGGATTACAGATGCGAGCCACCATGCCCAGCTTGATATTGTTCTGCACAGTGACGTAAATGAATAAGGCTCATGTAGTCCTGGGGCCCACCTGGTTGCCATGAGGGCTGAGAGATCAAAGTCTCAGTCTCCCGTAATTCACTGATGGTATGTCCCAGACAACGCTGCATCCTGGGGGAGTTATGATGTTATGAAAAGCGTATCTTTCTTTTTCTTTAAATGTCGTTTTCCTATTTCTTCCTTCCCACCTATCTCTTGAACCAGTTACACAGGGACTTTACAACCATGACACCTCTCCTTAGTAGAAAGGTAGATTTTAAAAAATCTTCTGATCCTACCTCTTCATTATTCTACCAAAATATGCTCAATTCCTGTTCAAAAAGTTTCGTGTATTTGGTTTCTCTCATCTGAAGTCATTCATTCAACAATTACTGAGTTCTATTATGTACTGGACACTTTGATAAACACTGGGACTAGGCGGTAAGGACAGCTTCTGACTGTAAGGTGTTCACAGTTGAAAGGAGTGAAAAATAGGAAGGGAAAGGGAAAGTGAGAAGCTCCTGAATGGCGGCAGGTCCAAAAGTTCCATGGCATTCTCCCTGGGGCTGGTGGGAAGGCTGCCCAGAAGCAGTGGCATTGGAGGTGTGACTTGACGGAGGAATGAAACTTTGACACTCTAATCAAGAAAGAGTACTGGATAAGAGACAGAAACTTGTGGGTTTGAGAAATGGTGAGCTTGTGGATGTTACTGGAGTACCAATTCCAGGCAACCCCTAGAAGAGTGACAGAGGGCAAGGCTGGAAAGAAAGGAAGGTGAGGCTGGTTTTTGATGGGCTTTGCCTGCCACATGGAACAGTTAAGATTTATGCCCTGAACCACTGGAAAATATTTTTCAGCAGGAGACTGACACCTGTAGACTCATTTTTTTGAACTACCGCTCTCACGTCAATATGGAGAATGGAATTGGGGGTGAGTAGCGAAGTCCTTGGGAGACAGATGAAACTTTGAAAACAGAAGCGATGAGGGTTGGACCTATGGCCAGGGTGATGGGAGTGGATGAAAGAAGGCAGTGGTGATAGAATGAATGTGAATGGCTATAGGGGCACAGGAGGGGTTAATTTGGGCAACTCAGTAAGTGGTGATGCTGGTAGCAAAGACAGGGAGAAAGGCTTTACTCCACTTTCAGCTCCTCGTACCCAACCTACCCTTTTCCACCCAGCCCAAGGGCCTTTTTCTTTAAAAACCTTCTTCCATCCTTGTCTCCTTAGAGACCACTTCCTTCCCAGAGTGGCTATTCTGGGATTCAGCTGTGGGCAGCTTGCTCCCTAAGCATGAAGTTATTATTTCACCTGCGTTAGGTCTGTTTCCTGCATGAGATTGTAGGACTGTTTTCAGGCCCACATCTCATGCTTCTGTGCTACTCACTTCAGTCACTGTTGCAGTGTCAGGCATTTATGAGGTCCAACAGGTAGTGGGGACTTGTGCTGTGCTTGCAAGTGAAATCTTAAATGTAAAATACATACCAAGTGGAGCTGCTCTGGTTAGTGCATGGGGAGAAGGCTCATAATCCAGGACCCTTGGCCTTCTTCAGTTCTTAGCAGCAGCCCCCAAGAACCTCCACTGTATCTAGGACCTCATGGGACAGAATTGGAAAACTTCTGGCTATGTGGACTGATCGTGGGTTTTGGAGTCAGATAGATCTGTGTTCAAATCCCTGCGGTATCAGTTACTTAGGTGTAATAGAGCAGACAAATGATGAAGACAAATGACAAGTGGCTCTAAGCCTCACTTTTCCCTCTGTAAACCAAAGATAATATTTTGTTTGTAGGGTTATTGTGAGGATGAAGTAAGATAATGCGTGTAACAATCTCTGGCACTTATTAAATGCTCACTAGATTATAATTGTCATTGATAACAATAAGAAGACACTTGTTAACTAATTACATGTTTGATCCATATTGAATTGGCACATGTTCAGTCTAAATAAACTTCTTCATCCTCAGGTTAAGAAAAGCTAGGGTTGGGGTGAAGTCATGGTGAGCTTGGGATTATGAGAAGAATCAATCTTGTCTCATATTTCAACCACTCCGTCAAACCAGAATCGCCTGCCTTTTCATGAGAGTCTCTTAATATATAATGTATGGGTGTCAGTTGCTGTAAACTGACTATACCCCAGCAACAACTTGAATTAATTATATGCAGGACGAGAGAAAATAAAATGCCTTTTTCTCAGAGGCCCAAGTTTCACTGGCTACACAGAAGGCTGGAAACCACAGGGTGAACTTTCTGCTGATGGAGGACCCTGAGAAGAAGCTGAATCAGAAGAGTGATGGCAAACCCCGGAAAGTACGATTTAAAATCTCCTCCTCCTACAGCGGTCGAGTACTGAAGCAGGTCTTTGAGGATGGGCAGGAATTAGAGTCACCAAAGGAGGAATACCCTCACAGTTTTCTCCAAGAGTCCCTTGAACCAATGGATGGTGTTTATGGGTCTGGGGAAGCCCCCAGGCCCCAGCTGTACTCCCCTAAGCTGACTGCTCAGAGGATCAGTGTGTTTAGAGACGGTAATGCCTACACTTTGGCGGGCGGCCAGCGTCTGTTCAACGATTACAAGGCGAATGACCATAAGGTTGGTATTGTACATGACATATAGGCTTTAAGGGTAGGCTTTCTAAAATGTGTTTAGAGAAACACCTAAATGGTTCAGATTTGTGTCTTGCCCACCCTCCGGTACCAACCAGAGCTATCGACACACCAAATGGGAAGCTGTTATTAGACGAATATTTCTGGGGTAAAAATAACATGCTTGCTGACTACTAATTGGAAAGTGCAATGAGCATATATAGTATTCAAATTCCATCCAAGGTAATACATTGTAATTGGATCTTTGAGCTTTCCTGGAATGTAAATTAAATAAAGATGCAGTGGTTTTCAGGTTGTCAGACTGCGGTTTTAGACAATTATGCAGTCATTTTGTTTCCTGAAAGAGCGAAGTATTTGAAAGTGCTCATTTTACTCCAGCCAATTATTCAGCTTGCAGTTTATCCACGTCTTGTTTTTTACCCCTATTGCCTTCCTCCTACTGCCTGCATTGTCTATTTATTTTGCCTTTTCATTGCTCATTAGCATTAATTCTGGGTAGTTGGAGTCCTGGGAAGAGATGGTGAAATGTAAATCAGCCAGAGGAGATGTTATGTGGGGAAGAAGTTTGAGCTAATGGTTTGATTGAAATGTGTTTAATTTATGAATTTCAATTACTTCCCAGTACCATGGTTTTCTTTTAAGCTAGAACCTGGAAAATATTCACTGAAATTCAAAAATTCATATGAGATATATATATGCTGTTAGTGGGACCACAAATGCCTTTTTAAAAAAGATTAAATACAGTTATATAATATATCTGTGTCATTAATGAATAGTACAGCAGGATGTGTTCTCATCTTTAAAGTGTGAAAGCCAGATAATTACTCTTGAATTATTTTTATTGTTAGTTTCCTACGGGAATAGATAATACATCTATTGCAGACAAATGTATTTTTGGCTTTACTGGCATTGGTAAAAGTATAATTATGGGCATGTTCATAATTACCAAAGATAACACTATGTTCCTTTTTGATATTAAAGGGGGCTGAACTGAATGACCTCTTATCTTAATGGGGTGTATGCATTACAAAGTGTTATCACATGTTATCTCTATCTGTATCTATCACGTTGGATCTTTACCATAATCCTGAGGAGAAAGGCAAAGTATGGTCATTCCCATTTTGCAGATGAGAAAAACTGAGTGCCAAGTTGTTAAGGGATCCATATGATACTCCGGGATCATTGGATACAGAGTCAGAATAGGAATCCAGATCTTCTTATTCCCCAAATGTTTTGCTTTAGGGCATGTTCCTTTCTAAGAGAACAATATGATTACATAATAATAATAATACCTACCATTCGTTGACTGCTTATTATGTCCTAGGTACTTAGCTAGTCTTGTACTTATACCATTTCTTTTTAACTGTGTCTTATTTGTAAGTTTAGAATTTACGAAGTCACAGTTCATGCAAACCTTTTACAAGACCCAGTAGATAAATTTTGGGTTGCTTGATCTTCATAAGTTATGTGCAAAATTTAGCGTTTATGTAAATGTATAATTTTTTTTTTCTTTTTTAGACACAGGGTCTTGCTCTGTCACCCAGGTTGGAGTGCAGTGGTACGATCATAATGCACTGCAATCTCAAACTCCTGGGCTCAAGGGATCCTCCTGCCTCATCCTCTCTGGTAGCTAGGACTATAGAATTTATGAATCTAGATAAATGAGTCTTCATGGCAGCATAGATCAGTTGGTTAGAACACAGTACTCTATATGTTTTAGAGGCCATGTTGAAGGTTCGATTCCTGCTTGGCCTCATTATCTCGGGTTTCTTTGTTTCCTGATCAAGTGCCCCATCCCAGTCATAGCCAGCTTCTGAGAATTAAAGTGGCCAGGATGGATTCATGCAGTTCCACCCACTGGAACCACTTGTCAATATGGTATTTATGAAAAAGAAGGAAATGAGAGCTAATGTCATGACTTTTTAATAACAAATCCAATTGTAAAACACCTCCTAGTAAATATTGGCTATGAGACCACATTGGGTAGCAATTAAGTGCAGTAATTCAAAGCAAGAGCTCTGAACTCAGATATATGTACATCATTGTTCATAGGAGCATTATTCTCAATTGTCTAAAGATGAAAAGAGCCCAAGTGTTCGTAGACTGATGAATGGATAAACAAGATGTGGTATATACACTCAACACAATATTATTCAGCCTTGAAAAGGAAGGACATTGTACACATGCACAATGTGGATGACTCTTGAAGACGTTATACTAAATGGAATAAGCCAGTCACGAAAACACAAATACTATATGATTGAACTTATCTGAGGTACCTAGAATAGTCAAAATCATAGAGACAGCAAGTAGAATGGTGGTTGGCAGGGGCTGGGCATAGATGAGAAGAAGGGTTACTGTTTAATGGATACAGAGTTTCAATTTGGGAAGAAGAAAACAGTTCTGGAGATGAATGGTGGTGATGGCTTCACAGTAATGTGAATGCACTTAATGCCACTGAGCTGTACACTTAGAAAGGTTAAGATGGTAAATTTTATGATATGTACAGGTTACCATGATAATAATATATACATATATTTTTTTTAAAAAAGGGCTTTGATGCCAGTCAAACCTGAGCTTGATGTTCAGTCCTACCCATTTACTGCATAAGCTTGAACAAACTAGTTAACCCTGTTGACCTTCAGCATAATTGTGATATGAGGGATATCAAATGACTTAAGAGAGTTGTTGTGATGATTTTAGAAGATAACACATAAGAAACTCTTAGCATTGTGCCTGGCACATTTTACATGCTTAGCAAATGTTACCCACCATTGTAATAACGAGCAGGTTCTTATCAAAGAAATGTTGAGTCTTAAATTTTATGAGATGGGTAGAGAAAAAGGTTATAAATAATCAAATATTTTAAGCAATTAAAATGGGCTGAAGTTTGTAAGGTTCAAAGAAAATGGAAGGGAAAAGGAAGGGAGGTAACATTTACTGAACACCTACTTTATACATATTGCATAATTTCATGTTCACAAGATTTCTTGGAGAGTTTTGCAGATTGGAAAAATGGAAGTTCGTAAGGGTTAACTAACTTGCAAATCTCACACAGTTGTCAAATGACATTTTAATACAGTCTGAACTCAGGTCTGTCTATCTGCAAAGCCCAGTGAATTTCTAGTACCCAATAAGCATTTCTGCATTTAAAAATGGAGCAGTGGGCAAGTTTAATAGTGCCTGATCAATAACCTCTAGGCATGTTGCCACAGACACCAGAGTATTTACAAGTGCTCAATCACATAGGTTGCCATTCTGCACCTTAGGAAAGGAAATGAAAAATTCTTGGCTCTGTCCTTTCCCTCTATCATGCAGGAGTGGGTGTTCCTCATTGACATTTGATGTAACCATGTAATGTGAACTTTCATTACACCCAGAGAGTTTTCTTAGACACAAGGAAGAATTTGCCTATCAGGGTAACTAAAACTTAAACACATCTTAAAAGTGACTTGAAACCCTCCATCTTTGGGGTACATTAAAAGATAAACTTGCTCATGCCTGTAATCTCAACACTTTGGGAGGCCAAGGTGGGTGGATCATGAGGTCAGGAGTTAGAGATCAGCCTGGCCCCAACATGGCAAAACCCCGTCTCTACTAAAAATACAAAAAATTGGCCGGGCATGGTGGTGCATGCCTATAATCCCAGCTACTCGGGAGGCTGAGACAGGAGAATTGCTTGAACCTGGGAGGCAGAGGTTGCAGTGAGCTGAGATTGCACCACTGCACTCCAGGCTGGGCAACAGAGCGAGACTTCATCTCAAAAATAACAACAATAAAAACAAAACAAAACAAAAACTTGCTATCTTGGGTGTATCAGCCATTAAGCAGCTCAGAAACAGGGGTTTGGAGTAGGTGATCTCAGATTAGCATATTGAGAGTTTTGTCTTGAAAAAAGGCAGCTCTAGAGATGAAAAGCTTCCTAGTAACTGAACCTTGTTGGCTATTACTGGAAGTAGAAATGGAACCTTCCCAAAGTACCACCATCCTTATCTTCTGTTATTCAGAAACCGATAGTACAGAGTGTGAAATAAGAATCCAGCCTGCATAAAACAATAGGAAATGGAAGCTGCTACATGATCCCTTGCAGAAAGGAAGAGAAAATAGGGCCAGATAGGAAGCTTGTGGCTTAATAAATAATTATTGAAAACTCCATTGGTGTTTCATGAAAGAGACCCTGAATATCGAAGTCTTGTTTAAGCCAGGTTTTGGCTGAATATACAAGGGCTATAAATACAAGACTGCTTAACTGCAGCGTTTAAATAGATTTGGTTTATATAGTTCTGTAAGCAGGGCAGAATATTTCATGCTAAGGTATTTAGTTGTGTAGTATGATTTTGCGTGCACTCCCAAAGAATAGTTTTAAATAATAACAATGGCAACAATTCTCACAATCTGCATAGTATCTCCAGCTTTTGCAAATACTGTTTTATATATTTTCCATGGCACCATCCACCCCGAGAAGCTGATATAATTAGCCTCAAGAATGAAAGTAAAAATATTTAACCACAGGAACATTGCTCAATCAGCAGAAAAGCCAATAGAGTGTTGGGGAAGGGTACTGAGACTTGGGTTCCTAAGCATGAACTCTTATGTTACTAGGTTTGGGGATGTTAGAGGCTCCTTGAAGGGAGACTGGGGTAATTGGATGGCACTCAGGAGTCTCAGGACAGCACATGTTCACCATTCAGTATGGAAGCATTTCTGTATTGTAATCACTAGCTTGTCTGTGGCAATGCCTGCCAGCTGGACGTCAGCCCCTTTGCAAATGAGCAAACTGAAGTTGAGAGGTTACATGACTTTCCTATATCTCACAATCACACTATACAACTAAATACTTCAGCATGAAATATTCTGCCCTGCTTACAGAGCTGTGTAAACCAACTCTATTTAGATGCTGCAGTCAGGCAGTCTTGTATTTAAAGTAATTTCTGAACAGTTACCCTCCAGTCCTCTCTACTGCATTGTGGTACTGCCCAGGTTTATTCCTGAGCAAATTATTAAGTAACACCATGCAAGAGAACAAAAGCTATTAATAATGATGCTTTAGATGTCTATTTATTGGCATAGATGATTTTAATATTATATAGATAATGAAAAAATAGGTTATGACAGAGTATATGTTATGATCCTATTTTTTCGGGGGGAAATACTTTTGAATAGTGTGATATAGCTGGTAAAAATATGGGTTTTAGGGTGACAGACGGGTTCCAATTCCAGTCACAGTGCCCTAGTAACTCTGTCACCTTAGTGAGGCATTTAACCCCACTGAGGTTCAGTCTCCTCAACTTAAAATGTGGAAACCATAGCATCTGCCTCATAGGGGTGTTTGGGGAGAAACTGAGGCAATGTTGGTAAAATGCTTAGCATGATGCCTGACACATAAAGAGTGCTCAATAGGTGGCATCTACTAATATTATTCTTTATACTGATAAAAAATTGGAGAGATATTTATATAAAACAAAAAGGCGTCCCTCTGTATTTATTAAACACTCATTGTACCCAGCCCTGCATTAGCTGTTGGGGCATGCAGTACGAATAGAAGCTCTAGCCCCTGACCTCCAGACTCTCATACTCTGAGTAGTTCAGCTCTGATTGGTCATCATCAACAGGAAGAAGGAAGCTGGCTTTCACGGCTTTTAGAGAGAGCAAACAGACCAGGGAATGAACTGTGACTTTGGGGTCTGATGGGATCACCAGTGCTGGGTGGTAGAAGTTCCTCCTTTGCCGTTTCCTGGTATTTTGGACAGGTTCTGCAGCTCTCTACTTGGTGATTGGTAGTAGAGTTTCTACGTTCATTCTCCATTTCTCTAGCCCCTACCTATCATAGATTTTGGAAAGATAATCATCTACACTAATAACCTGAAAATCATTCGAACCCCAATGGACAAGAGAGACTTTGTGAGGAACATTCTCCAGAAGGAAGAGGAGGCTAAGGAAGAGTCTCTGATGAGCAAAGAAGTAAGCTACGGAGGCAGAGGACAGCACGAGAGGCCTTTGGTGGAGGCGGAGAGTACATTCCCCCATAACCAGTATACACAGGTGCGTTGGGGAGCTTGACTATCCTACTCGGAGCTGGCCCTACAGCAATGGTCTCCAAGCTGGCTTGACTGTGCACTGCTTAAGTAAAACCATTTGAATATGAATGCTTAAGATATCTAAATTTGAAGATATGAGGAATTTTAACATTTGTTCTATTTTAATGGTACACTGTTAGCAATAGCAGTTATAAGTCCATATTTCAAATACTTTAAATTTTTAATTTTTTGGCTGACTTCTTTTTAGATCTGATTAAATATTTATTATTTTCACTGTGCAGTGTGGCTTATGAACAGCTGGTTCTAGAGGTGGAAAAAATAAATCAACCCTATCTTTTCTTATGGGTTCACTTGTTCGTCTATTATTGCCGTCATCCTTGATCCATAGCCTTCTTGAAGACATCATGTAAAGTCATGATTACATTTGGCAGATTAGTTTGGCTAAAACTAAGGAGTATCATTTGTAAATCCACTAGACCAGGCACAAGTAAACTGCCATATGTTACAATGTGCTGAAAGTGGACAAATGAGTTGGATGCTACTGTCAGCAACATTTGAATGCCAGTCTTACTCCAGGTCTCTTGGGTACCTTGTTTTTCTAGTGACTGCCTGACCTAATATGGCTGTCAGTGTCCACAAGTTTATTAAAAGTTAGTATAAAAATTCTTTTAAAAAGAAAATAAAGCTTAATATCTTACCTAATTTTAGATAAAAAGTAAATATAAATGGTTCCAGTGTTTTCTTCTCATATGCCTTAGAAGTGTGCACATGCCACCTTGGAAACCATTGCTCAGATATGCTCAGACCAGGGGCAGGAGGGCTGTTATTCAATAATTCACAATGTGAGGTTAGGGGTGGAGGAAGCAATTTTGATGAATTTAAGCCAAGAGTAAAAGCTTGGGTAGCTGGAGAAATGTTTTCTGTCTCTTAGATTCCATCTCTTGGGACTTGATATTTTCTGTGAGATTCACTTTAACTTCCTGGTATTGCTATGGAAAAATGGGTCGGGGGCTTTCTGGAACTTGAGTGATTTCTCCACTCAGGGAGGGTTCAGATGATAAGGAGGTCACGACTGGGCTTTGAGTGATGGCCTTAAACAAGAGGCACCAAAGGCTCCTTCTTATCTGATTTCTTCCATATCACAAATCTATCTATCTCTATACAATTTCTCTAAAATCTACTTTTTTCTTTCTTCCTTTCTACCTCTTCTTCCCTTCTCCTAGACATAAGCAACCAGAACTCTACCAAAAGGTTCTGAAAGTTCTGCTCACATCCATTCACATCTCTTTCCAACCAGCCCTCACGCTCTAAAAGATATTTTTAAATGTAATCTGATTAGGTCCCCTGTATTAGTCCACATTCACACTGCTATAAAGATACTACCTGAGACTGGGTAATTTATAAACAAAGGAGGTTTAATTGACTGATAGTTCCAAATGGCTAGAGAGGCCTCAGGAAACTTACAATCATGGTGGAAGGTGAAGGGGAAGCAAGGCATGTCTTACATGGCAGTAGGAGAGAGAAAGAGAGAGAGGGAGCGTGAGGAAGTGCCATGCTTTAAAACCACCAGCTCTGGTGAGAACTCACTTATCATCATGAGAACAGCATGAGGGAAACTGCCCCCCATGATCCAATCACCTTCCACCAGGTACACCACTTGACACATGGAGATCACAATTCAAGACAAGATTTGGATGGGGACACAGAGCCAAACCATATGCATCACCCCCTCTAAGCTTTCAGTGTCTTTTCATTGCTGGGGATAAAACCCCAAACTCATTACTTGTCCTAGGAAGCTCTATGTAGCTCGGCCTCTGCTGGTCCCTCCAGCAGCATCTCTCACACATCTCTTCTCATGCTCTTGCCCCAGACACACTGCCCATCTCCCCATCTCCATCCCTCATATATTATCCTCTCTTTCCTACTAGAGGCAAATCCCCTCTGCCTGGAATGTCCCCAGACTCCCCACTATCTTGCCTTCAGCTTCTGAGATCTCAGAGGAGACATCACTCCCTCAGAGGGATCTTCCCTGGCTTCCATGAGGAAAAATTCCTCCAGGATTGACCTGTCAGGGCACCTTACACCCCTCCTGACAGTTGCAATCTTACTTTAATTTGTGTGATTATTTGGTTGGTGTTTGCTCTTCCCAGTTAGGTCTCCATGAGGGCAGGCCTGGCCATGTTTATGTTGGGTTCAACATTGTAGTTCCAGTATCAGAAAAAATAGAGCCTGGCATATAACAGGTAATCAGTGAATATTAGTTAAATGTTTGTGGAAAGAATACTGGAATTTGAGACTAGAGTGCCAGCTGGTAAGAAGTCTTTGGCCATTACCTTCTTTCATCTTCTATGCAGAACTATTACGAACCTAGCCTGCGCCAGATGTGGCAGCTCATGCCTGTAATCCCAGGCAGAGGAGGGAGGATCCCTTGAGCCCAGGAGTTCAAGACTAGCCTGAGCAACATAATGAGATCTGTCTTTACAAAAAATTAAGTTGGGGGAAAAAAAAAGAGCCTAACCTGGCAGCAGGAAGATGACTGAACATCGTGATCCAAAGCTATATAATTCTTTAATTCTATTACCTATCATACTATATTGTAAGTTGCAGGAGCATATATTTTCAGAAGACAGCTGGAAATGATAAAAAGCAGGTCATACTGCAGGCCTGAGTAAAAAAAGCAAGAGTAAGCCTGATAAGACAATTACCTTTAAATTGAATTTGTAGAGAGCTGTGTTTTTTAGCTGTAATGCTGTAAACTAGGACAGAGGTGTGCAACAGAAGTTTGCTGTGAAAGGTTATACTTCACTTGTCTGTCCTATAAACTCTGTTTTAAATTGTTATTTGTTTGCCCAATCTCTCATGCAGCAAATGCTCAGACAAGTTTTATTCTAAAAGAGAAGGTCAAAGAACATCAAGGAGCCCCTTCTAACCAAGAGCCCCTTTGTTCTGTTAGATGGAATGGGGCAGCAGTGAGAATCTGATGAAAGAGCAGGGCAAGGCTGAAAGCTGGACCAGGATTGAGCCTCTGTATTAACTATCAAAGAAGAGGAGAGGAATAATTGAATTGAGCCACAGCAAAAGGTGGAAAGGGAAAAATTTGGCTTTGTGCTCAGTGGATTTGAGGCCATGAATTGTCTGGGCTTCTTTATGCTTTATGTGATCTCACTTTGAGATAATAGTAATAATCATCTCATCATAAGCATAATCATAATCATAATAGCTGCCATTTATCGAGGGCTCACAATAGCCAGGCACCATGACCAATGCTCCATGAAATAGTTCACTTAACTCTTACAAGAACCCTGTGAGGTAGATATTATTAATAGTCACATTCTGCAGCTATGGAAACTGAGGCTCAGAGAGGTTAAGTAACTTGGCCAGAGGTCACTAGAACCAGTAGTCAAATATAGGTCCATCTGTTGATCAGTCTCATGACCATAACCACCCTATTATGCAGTCTCGATTGGTGTTGGTTGCCATCTTCAGTGCTACACAAGCCTTGGAGTCTGCAATAAAAGATCAGGCCCCTCTTCTTGGTCAGAGAGCTAGTAAGAGGTGGATTGGTGGGTCTGTTGGGTTCTAGAACTTAAGCTATGCTGTGCAACTATGTTCTATATCCTACTAAATATTTTCTGAGAATAATTTAAAAGATACAGAGAAAGAAAGAAAGAGGCTTATATTATACAAGTCTTGTATAGAGTGGTGCTCCTTAAATACTTGCTGAATTAGCCGAATCATTAAAAAGAGGGTAAGTGGTTGAAGAGAGTGGTAACCCAGAATAAGAATGGAAACTCCAGCAAAACTTCAAATAATGTAGTGCACTCTAGAACTATATGACATTAGATACAATTTGATGGAAGACTTGTTCTTATTCTCTATAGCAGGCTTCCTAGGTCATTTCATTAATCTTTCAATATCTGATCTGGCATTTTATGCAAATGAATTTTTGGATCACATGTATAGCATTATGGTAGGATTTTACTGTACTTTCTCTGGCAGTGTGGACTTATATTATTAAAATCTCACTGCTATGAAGTACAAAACATAAAACCTAATGGATTTGGCAGGAAATGAATCGTGGCAATTAGCTTTAAGAATATTTTGGCAAATATCTTTATTTTAAATACTTTAAGAGAAGAAAACAAATTATCCATTGTTAATATTAATTAACATATGGCAGCAATCAACAAAATATTAACAAAGGTATATACACATTATTTGAGTTTTTGTTAGTTGGGTAATGACTTCTATTCCTTAAATCTAGAATACATAATATTCAGTACCTTCTTAGGCACTTTGCAGCATGATGGAGCTATTTTCAAAACTTATGCCTTCCTTTTCAGAGATTATTTTTATTCTTAGGTTATAAAAGAAAGCTGTATGAGTTGGGTAGAGCTACCCAGTGGACTCCTGTTGCCTTGTTTGTCCCCAGAATTTAAGAACAGGAGGTGTTCTCCAGATATCATTGTTCATTTGTTTATTCATTTGGCACAAACAATGTGCCAGGCACTGCACTAGATATTTGGGAAGAGACAATGAAATGGTACAAGTCCAGAGAGCTCCCTGTCTAATCAACAGAAACTTTCATTGGAGTATGGGATACCTGTCATGCTAGGGGTAGTACAAGTGGCCATGGGGGTGGCGGGACTCCTGGTCTAGAGGTGTGGGTGGGTGAGGCTTCCTGGAGGAGGAGCTGCTAAGCTGACTTCTGCGGACAAGCAGGAGTTGGCTGGGTTGGGAGTGGAGAAAGGTCCATGGAGACCAAGTGCAGAGAGGCCCATGAACAAGATCCTGACGAAAGAAGTGACAAAAATTTTAAATCAGCCTAAGGAACTGGGTTTTATCCTAAGGTTTTATCTGGAGGGCAGGTGTTCATTAAAAACCTTTCCTGAGTGCTTTCTATGTGGCAATCACTACTGCGGGCAACTTAATGAGCTTGGCATCAGTGAGGAGAACATATCACAAGACCAGAGGCACGGGTCCACACTGAGTTCATGCCAGAGTCAGTGGGCAGCTGGGCTAGGATTTTGGTTGTGGGATGAAGAAAGCAGGATGGATTTGAGATTTTCAGAAGCTGAAATGGACAAGACTTGGTACTGGATTCACCAGGTTTCAATCTAGTATCTCCCCTTATTTCTGGGAAGGTTCATAGTCTATAAGGAATACCAAGATCACCAATTTCCTTAAGATATCTGAGGGGAGAGCAAGACAATAGCCAAAGAATATTTTCTGGAGAGTGGGAGTCAAGAATTGGAGATTTGTTAGTAAGGCTTAGAAGTGAACTAACTTTTATGGTGAATCTATGATTTGATAGATAATATTGCATTACACATATTCTCTCATTTAGTGTTCCAGCTACTCAGAAGGGTAAGCATTATTATTCACATTCTATAAGTAAAGGAACAGATTGGGAGAGGCTAAGGGAACTTTTTAAGTTGCACAGCTGCTGGCAGATAATAGCCTCACTCCTACTCTATTAACTCCGAAGTGCAGAGCTCTTAGTCACTGGGCCTTCGCTCTCAAAGAGAATAAAGATGTAAGTACTGCAAGCATTCAGAGTTAAGCTTGGAAGGATTGTAACATTTATTGATTCACTGATTTTTCCACTCAGTCTCTCAGACACACAAAACAGTCTTTCTTGAGCACTTACTATGGTCAAGTACAATGAAGAGCTGTGTACATGGGCATTAGGAGCATCAATTCTGGTGTTCTAATCCCTGGGATGAAAACCCACCTCTTCCTCTTTCAAGCTGTGTGTGTGACCATTGGCAAACAACTTCTCAGTATCGCATTTTCCCATCTGCAACACAAGGATGATAATACTTACACCATCTCACTGGGATTTTGTGAGGATTAGAGGGATGATGTATAGGAAGCTCTTAGAACTGCACCTGGCACCTATCAGGCATGCTACAAGGGTTCACTCGTAGTATTTGGCAATGAGGAAAATAAAGTCCTTGCCCTTTATGGAGCTTACAGAAGAAAAGGCCAGAGATAGTGACAAGGGCAATGAAGATCATGAAGTCTTGGAATGCAAAGTGTGGTGACAGGAGATACTGTCTTAGAGATGTCCACCAGGGGAATCCTCTCTGATAAAATTGCTGTGACTATTCTGGGTCCCAGCCGATTCTCTCACTGACATTCGTGGGAAGCGTTTTCCTCTATTCTGCCCCAGCCTTTGCAGAAGCCTAGTGCTGTTTTGACCTGCATGTGAACAATGGACTTGAACTGCTGCTCTAACTAAACCCTAACCTGTCTCTTGCAGGAAGGGGATCTTCCCGAGGACAGCTGTTTTCACTGCCGAGGGTCGGGCAGTGCCACCTGTTCTCTGTGCCACGGCAGCAAGTTCTCGATGCTGGCCAACAGATTTAAGGAGTCCTATCGGGCCCTGAGGTGCCCTGCCTGCAATGAGAATGGCCTACAGCCTTGCCATATTTGCAATCAATAGCCTGTGGCTTTTGCATGTCCACTGTTATCTTACCCTCCCTAAAGTTATTTCTAATAAACTATCCCCTTCTCCTCCTCCTGCCTCTCCCAGCAAGGAGGCCACAGTCACTCCCACTGCTGGCAAAACTCAATTATCTGATGACATTTTGTGAGGTTGGTAACATCTCTGTGTGAGTCTAAGTGGCAGGGGCATTTTCGAATTAGAGTTTGCTTCGAAACTGGTTCTGAAATTATCCTTCCAGGATGGCGTGAGTATATCTCACTTGACTTAGCTCAGTTTTCTCCTTGCTTCAGTGAAGAAATATAGGTACACTTCAAGCATCGGGCTAGGGGTTATTTTGCAAAATTATGCGGTGAGAAAGGAATAAAAAAGGCAGGTTTCTGATGAACTGAATTCTTGTTGCTTATAATGCATCTCAAATGATTATTGGTCGAATTGAATTTCTGATTAAGCAGAAGAGGAAGGGGACAGCCAATGCTGGACGTGCTAGCAGACCACGGCAAGCAAAACAGGATGCTCATTCTTGAGACAGGCCAAGGAGCCTTCCCTTTCAAAGACCTGAACCTCTCCTGTGTGGTGTGCTTGGATATTTATGCTGACAGTGAGCAATACTATTTCTTAAGTCAAGATGAGATAAGACATTTTCATGTGCCTCTAACTACTGAGGTTATAAGCCAAGTCAAAGCTATTTATGATAAATTTGGTGCTCAAATATGTGTGCATGACATAACTTCTTCCAGCCCCTGAATTACTACCAAATAAATAAATCCATTTTAAGTCTAAAATCTAGCCATAATAGTCTTCATAAAGGATTGCAGATATTTTATAGATTACCTACTGTAAATCTCCAAAAGAAAAAATTAACCAAGGCTGATTTTTAGCAGTAATGTTTTTACTATCCATGAATATGCATAGTAAGGATGATTCTTTCCTCTTGAGGTTGGTTGTAAAATTAGAACATACTTTTGTTAATGAACTTTTGTAGCTCTAACACCCACTCCCCAAGCCCCTTAAGGATAACACTGCAAAATTGATCTCTTGAGGCCTGCTGCGTTCTGTGGTAATAATTTTGATTTTACAACTTAGTAATTTCTCAAGATTTGTTTGTTATTCTCTAATATTCAGCTTTTAACATAATTTAACAATGGAATGCTTCTCAGGCAATATAAATACTTCTAATAAAAAAGACTAAAATATTTTCGAAGCCATGATAGTTTTGCCTGTCCTTTCATACTTAGGACTTACCATGTTGCTCACCAGCTTTCTTTGCTTCTATGCTTAACTATTATACCTCGTGCCTCTGTTTATGTTTTCTCACAGCTGTTGGCTTTTCTGCCTTTTCAGTATAGAGGAAGGTGGGATGCAGAGAGACCTTTTTTTTTTTCCATTTATTTATTTTATTGCATTTTAGGTTTTGGGGTACATGTGAAGAACATGCAAGATTGTTGCATAGGTACACACGTGGCAGTGTGATTTGCTGCCCTCCTCCCCATCACCTACATCTGGCTTCTCTCCCCTTGCTATCTCTCCCCAACTCCCCACCCCCCACCGTCCCTCTCCTATTTCCCCCCAACTGACCCCAGTGTGTAGTGCTCCCCTCCCTGAGTCCATGTGTTCTCATTGTTCAACACCTGCCTATGAGTGAGAACACGCAGTGTTTGATCTTCTGCTCTTCTGTCAGTTTGCTGAGAATGATGGTTTCCAGGTTCATCCATGTCCCTACAAAGGACCCAAACTCATCGTTTTTGATGGCTGCATAATATTCCATGGTGTATATGTGCCACATTTTCCCTGTCCAGTCTATCATCGATGGGCATTTGGGTTGTTTCCAGGTCGTTGCTATTGTAAACAGTGCTGCAATGAACATTCGTGTGCACGTGTCCTTATAGTAGAAAAATTTATAATCCTTTGGATATATACCCAGTAATGGGATTGCTGGGTCAAGTGGAATTTCTATTTCTAGGTCCTTGAGGAATTGCCACACTGTCTTCCACAATGGTTGAACTAATTTACACTCCCACCAACAGTGTAAAAGTGTTCCTATTTCTCCACATCCTCTCCAGCATCTGTTGTCTCTAGATTTTTTAATGATCGCCATTCTAACTGGCGTGAGATGGTATCTCAATGTAGTTTTGATTTGCATTTCGTAGAGAGATCTTTAAGTGTATTTTGCCTTTTTTTTTTTTTTTTTTTTTTTTGGAGACAGAGTCCGCTCTGTTGCTCAGGCTGGAGTGCAGTGGTGTGATCTTGGCTCATTGCAACCTCTGCCTCCTGGGTTCAAGCAATTCCCCTGCCCCATGCTCCTGAGTAGCTGGGATCACAGACACATGCCACCACTCCCAGCTATTGTTTTGTAGTTTTACTAGAGACAGGGTTTTGTCATGTTGACCAGACTGGTCTTGAACTCCCAACCTCAGGTGATCCACCCACCTTGGCCTCCCAAAGTGCTGTGATTACAGGCGTGAGCTCCCGAGCCTGGCCCTATTCTACTTTTTGACTGGAACATTCCATCACAAATATTGTTTGAGCCCCGTTGCGTGGAGAACAGCATTTCAAAGTACTTGCGTGTTACTCAGAGAGGCATCATCCCTTTGGATCTCATGGAACTTACAGTTTTAGAGCAGGAGATAGATACATAAACAGATAATTACAATGCACTGTGACAAGTGCTGGGATAGGATAATTACGGGGAGCATTTGGAGCAGGCAGAAGGGGCATCTAATTTAAGCCTTAGTGGGGTTATGGTGGTTGCCCAGAGGAAGAGGTGTAAGCAACTTCAGCTTCTGTAAAGAGCCTTTAATGTTTTTCATCATATAATAAATAACCTACTAATGATCACATTTATTGCGTTCATTCCACATGTATTCATTTATTATTGTGGTAGGAATACTTAATATGAGATCTACTCTCTTAATGAATTTTTAAGTGTACAGTATGTTATTGTTGACTAGCCACAAGTATTTATGGAGCACTGAGGATGTATCAGAAGACAAAACAAACTAAATTCTCCTGCGAGCTTACATTTTGGTGAAGGAATATAGACAACTAAATATATGGATTTATGGGAATAATATATATGTTTATGCAATACATATAGCCTATAGAACAAAATATATACATTTATATATAATAAGCTATGTATATATAACACATACATTACATATATATACATATATATGTAATGTATAGTTGTGTTAAAAAGGCTTTATCCCTTTTCTGATGAAAAAACAAAACACTAAGGGGGAATGGAGGATTAGAAGAGGTTGCAATTTTTGGCAGGGCATGGTGGCGCATGCCTGTAATCTCAACAGTTTGGGAGTTTGAGTCGGGTGGATCACCTGAGGTCAGGAGTTTGAGACCAGCCTGACCAACACGGTGAAACCCTGTCTCTACTAAATACAAAAAATTAGCCGGGCATCGTGGCATATGCCTGTAATCCCAGCTACTTGGGAGGCTGAGGCAGGAGAATCGCTTGAACCTGGGAGGCGGAGGTTGCAGTGAGCCAAGATTGTGCCATTGCCCTCCAGCCTGGGCAACAAGAATGGAACTCCGTTTCAAAAAGAAAAAAAAGAAAGAGGTTGCAATTTTAAAATTAGCTTGCAGGGAGCCTCCTTGAAAAGGTGCCATTTATCAGGTTGAGGTTGATGTCCATGAATATAAATTAAAAATGAAAATAAAAAAATAAGAAAAAGTGTCATTTAAAGAAAGGCCTAAAGGAGTTAGAGAGTGGGCTGGGAAGGTGTCCGGAGTAAGACTATACCAGGCAGAGGAAATGGCAAATGCTGGACTCAGGAAGCAGAGTGCCACAAACTTGAAGATAGAACACAAGTTCTACTTACTGTCCTTCAAACTCAGGAGTATTGCTATGACCCACTGTATGCAAAACGTACATACCTGAGTTCTTTGCCTACTACTGGAGACAAGTTTGCACTATAATATCCACTTCCTGATTTTGTGAACTGCAAGTATTTGCCAGTGGGTTGGGCAGGGTTGGGGTAAGTTTAGGACAAGTTAGCCAACTGGTACTCCTTGAAGACTAAGGGAATCCCTTCAGAGCTAGAAACAAACACAGAGGTTAAAAAATATCATCAAAGTGATGCTGTGATTAAAATAATACTATATCCTTAGAAAGAAAGCTCAAAAAATTTAAATAAACACATGTCTTAAAAATGTAACATTTATCCATTCATTTATTCACTGAATAATTTTTTTGTTAGATTTCTACTATGTTCTGGGCATTTGTACCAGGTCCTCAGAAGACAAAGATGAAAAAGGATTTAGTATTTATCATTAATGAAATTACAGTCTTGGGCCTCTAGTTCTCATAGCAAATGAATTTGGCCCCACAATTTGGAAAGGACACCTTCGCTACTTCAGTAACTTTCATTCGTCTACTTGAGGTCAAGTTAGCTCGGCCAGGTTTGGGGACTGTGTTTGTTACAAAATGTTTGTATACATTTATTTAAATTAATAAGCACATATCAGCCTTTACTGCGCGCAAGACATTGCTCTAAGCAGTTCACACTTAGCCAGCTCCTAAACCATCTTAAGGTTGAATTAATTCAGTTTTTTGATCATCTCTTAGTCTCACCCATACTGTTCTTTTCCATGCCATGCTCACCTGCAGTAAATACGCAGGCTCTTTCTGTGATCCTCACAAATATCTTGCCTTACTCGTCCTTTGTGGATATGATAAACTGTACTGAAACTGGAGATCTACTTAGGGGGCTGATACTGCATCATAGTAATGAGATAACTTCACAAGACTTCTGAGGACTTTCTTGGCCACTTAGCACCCTTCTGCTGATTCCTCCTTCCCTCTCTGCCTTCCCACCCCAGCTGACCCTTACTCTTCTTACTCTGTTGCCAGAATGACTCATCTTTATGGCCCCTATTTCCAACTGTGGCTCAGCCTCAAGGCCTATCTACTCTTCACACGAAAAGATCTGCAGAGCCCAGGAAGCTTCTTTTCACAGACCCCACCCTCCTTGAAGGACACTTGTGGTTTGAAATGGCAGTATGTCCCCCTCCCTACCTGTCTTAAGGGGCTCCGTGGGGCAGGAAGGGCAGAGTCCATAGGCTTTAAACCTTTGCCCGTATAGCAACTCTACTTTTTCTTCCTTGTTTTCATTTTGGTTTCCAGGTAAGATCCCTGCTGAAGAGAGCATAGTACATTTAAAATTTTTTGAAAACAGAGTTAACTATTTACTTTGTGACCCATACTTTACTTTTCCAAATTAAACTGGCCAAAGACATCATTTAAGCTTCAGTTCATAGGTACGATGATATTTTTCTATTCTAACTCTTCCACAAATATGAATTGCTCTGGTAATATATTCATTTAGACGACTGCTGACATTTATATAAAAAAATCCTGTGGTTCACTAGAGCTTAATCGGAGTGAATTTTATGCTAAAGGTAAATTTGAAAGAAATGTTCGCAGTTGTTTTTAATCACCTGTCCTCATTAGTTGCATCTCCTTATTTTCTAATTAAACACAGTAATTACAGAGAGTTCACATTCATGCAATTATGTGAGAGAGAAATGGAGTTATGTCAGTGTCAAAATTATGCCATATAATTACTGCCTGTGTTAAAGAACACATAAAACCAGGAGAAGCCGTAGAAACATAATACAGTAGAACTTCCTTATTGCTTGAGGATTGGGGAAAGGAGGGAGGAAAGGGGGAGTTAAATCAGACCTTTGACTAAACTAGAATCTATGTTTATCTCCTTTTACGCTATGAGTTTGCTCTTTCCATAGTCCCCTTAGCATCCCTTTTATCCAGCTCCCAGACACAGTTTCCTCCATGCGTGATTATTTCCCAGATTAGGGCCACTAATTCACACTAAGGTGTAAATGACTAATAGATAATTGACCATGCCTGCTTTTTTAGTTTCAAAGTGTTACAATTTTTGAAGGCCTCCTATGTGTCAGGCCATGTGTAAGACACAAGCAGTCACACAGATGAAAGAGACACAATATCTTCTCTTAAGGACATCATGGTCTCATAGGGAATTAGAGAATTAAATGAACATTTGCAAAGTAAAATAATACATGCCATAGGAGGGGGAGAGACTAAAGCTTGGTTAACTCTCCTTTCATTGTTGATCCCCCTCATTCAGCTTTGAGCTTCTTGAGGGCAGGAGCTGTGGCCATGCGTCATTGTATCTCCAGCATCCACACAGTGCTTGGTGCATAGAAGGTGTTCTGTAAATATGTGGTGGTTTGGTGTTTGCAGAGACATGACATTTAATTGCACATACAGGGCCCTCAGTGTACTGTTGTCTTATGGGCCAATGCCTTGTGAAAATTTCGCCAGTGGACAGCTTCTAAAATGGCTCCCAATGATCCCCA